ATTCCCCAGCCAGCCAGGCTGGCTGGGGAATTCTGGGAATTGAAGTCCACCCATCTTCAAGCGGCCAAAGTTGAGAAACACTGACTTAAAGGCTGTGAAAATGATTGCGCAATGGTTGCTGAATCTCCTGAAGCTGGCCACGATGGGTAGGACAGCATGGTCAGAGTCCTGCTTGCTAATTTGGTTTCTGTTTGGAGCACAAGTACTCCATCCAGAAGAGTGAACCTTCTGATTGATATTTGAGAGGGGGGCTTCGAGTCAGTTTTTGACTCCTGGCAACTGCCTGGACCTGCCTGGACCCTGCAATTTTCTTGGCAAGATTTTTTTTCAGAACTAGTTTGCCCTTGCCTCCTTCCTAGGGCTGAGAGAAAGTGACTGGCCCAAGGTCCCCCAGCTGGCTTTGGGCCTAAGGCGGAACTAGAACTCACCATCTCCCAGTTTCTAGCCTGACGCCTTAACCACGACACCTAACCAGCTCTGTGCAGATTGATTTTAGGAACCAAGCAAACTTGCAGAAGGAGCAGTCAGGAGTTTTTTTAGTTTTTTATGTATAGGGTTTGCTTTATAGTTTGACCTTTTAATTGGTTAATCCATTTTAATTAATTAATGTGTATGTATTTTTTAATTGTTTGTGGGTTTTATGAGCCGCCCAGAGTCACCCGTTGGGGGAGATGGGCAGCATACAAATTAAATAAATAAATCAAGCAAGCAAGCTCAGAAGGGCCTCCTCCCTGAGATGCAAGGTGCTACAATACAGCTTGTACACGGAAACTTTGGTGGTGGTGGGGAGGCAGGGCAGGTAGCACTCAGAAATGCCATCCCTTTGTCTCATCCTCTGTTCCACCTTTTTTTGTTCTGAATTCAGCCACGGTTGTCTTTTTGTCTTCGTAGGGTCTCCGATGTTCATTTTTCTGCAGATCCCATTAATTTTCCAAATCTTGTCCTTTCAAAACAGAAAAAAAAGAAGTAAAATCATCGCTGGGCCATTTTCTTAGTGCCCCAGTTCTGCAGCCGTGCCATAAATATTGCCTTGACATGAACTGTTCCACTTTTATTTTATTGGCTTCTGAGGGTCTGATGATTATCCCAGGAAACCTTCGTAGCTGGAGCGGCAGAAGCACAATAGGAATTTCAAAGGATGGGATTTCAGGACTGGATTAGCTCCCTCCCTCTCCCTATGCCAAGTGGAATAACTTACATAATAGATACTTGCATGCTGAATTCACTCGTGAGCCATTGAATGCAGTTTTCTCCTCCTCCTCTTGAAATGTAGTTAGCTGGGTAAGAGCTGAATGCAGCATTAGCATCTCTGGTTTGGCCATTTGTTAAAAAATTGACCAATGCAAACGATAATTTTAATGCCTGCCTTCCTTAAAACATTATTTTAATTGTCGAAGGGCAGAGCACACTCAGTTTTGTAGCAGAGGAAGAAAAAGCTCGTTGACCACGCCATGTTTGCAAAGTTTGCAGGAAGAGCTATGCCATATAGTTGCTGACAGGACAGAATTGCCTTTGGATCCTAAGAGATGGCTAAACAGCTGGCAGCACTTAGCCACTCTTGATTGATATGAAAAAGTTAAGTAGAATTGGGCCTGGCTAGTTCTTGGATGGGAGACCAGAAATCCCAGAAAGTTGAAGGAACACCAGCAGCAAACCACTCGCATATTGTTGCAGAGAAGACTCAGTTGTCTTGGCTATGTAATCATCCGACATTGAGATCAGCTTGAGGGAGTGTTTATCTTTTTTTTAAAATGGCTTTCGTATATCATAAATAAAAATACAAGATGCTCCTGTTAATATCTTTTCTATCAGCAGCACCTTGGAAGATACTATCTATGAATATATTCGGTTTTTATTGTATTTTACACTTTTTAAATTGTATTTTAATTAATATTTATTGGTTGTTTTTATTGTAAAACCCCCAAAGTCACTTCTTCGTGAGATGGGCGGTATCCAAATTTGAAATATAAATAAATAAATAAATAAAT